CACTAAATGTTGTCGTGAGTGTTTTCATGAGACTGAGTAGGGAACATGGACAACTAACCAATTGGTATGGCACTTCCCCCTTCAGCAATCATTCATTTCCTACAGTTATTCAGTAAAGGCTGAAGATTCACAAGCAATCTTGCACTGATAGTGGGCCCAATCTTATGCAGGCCTTATGTGTAACTCATAGCCACAATAAGTTCCTATGTGCTACCATTGTCCAGAAGTCACTGTTTACAGTAGGCCTCCCTTTTCTACGGCTGTTACATTCTTTCTATCTCTTGAGTCTAAAAGATGCTCCATTCAGGACCAAATGTTCTGTAGTCCTTATTTTCCAGCACTCTGAATAGTTATGAATTTCTATAATAACTGTTTCCCATCCCTCCAAAAGAAGCTCATCTAATGAGGCTGAGAACAACACTAACCTATGGCTAAAAGCATATGTATATAGAAGGGAGTTTGACAGGATGTCTATTTTGATGCAAAAAAATTATCAGTTTCCCTTATAAGATCCATGAAATCCCTAACTATAGGCTCTTGGCCAAGTTTACATTACCAAGCCTGAGCTAACTCCTCTTGAGTGGACTGAAAAATCCAGCCTGAGAGCTGCAGTTTACCCTAAAAGAGTTAAGGCACTATTCCGCCAATGTAAACCTCCTTTTCCTTGCGGATTGTTATTATAGTTTATAATATCCTCAGATATTATATCTGATGATGAATTTATTCCTCTAGAAGCCTGTATAGCAATTTCTGGCATTATCCAGCAAAGGAGGATGTTCTCCATGTTCTGCAACCCAAATTGTGAGGTCTCCATCAGTTGTCTTATTGTGTGTGTGTATATATATATATATATATATATATATATATATATATATATAATCTGAAAGATGGGGTGTCTGTTTCTCTTACCGAGAACTTTTTGTAAGGAGTTATTTTACATCTGGCAGTTGGATTTTTACTTAATAGCCTTTGACTTCTGGGAGGATCATTATCCACCCATGCCATACTTTTAATTGCATTGTAACAGATACAGAAAATAGCAGTTGTGAAGGTTAGTGCTGATTGTCAATTGAACAACATGTACAATCACCTGGAAGATAGGCCTGTGGGCGTGCCTGTGGGGAATTATGTATATGCCATTTAGGTGGGATATGGAATCACTGTGGGTGACAGCATTCTCAGGCTGGGATTGATTGAATAAATGGAGAAGATAGAGAGTATCCAACCCTCCCTTCTTCCTGACTGGGATCTGACTAGCTGTTTCAGACTCTGCTGCTATAATAGCCCCATGAGTGATACTCTACAGTGTCTACACTGAAATAAACCATTTATCCTTTAAATACTCGACAGTGTCTACATAGAAATAAACTATTTACCCTTTAAATTCTCCACAGTGTCTACACTGAAATAAACCATTTAGCTTTTAAATACTCAACAGTGTCTACACTGAATGAGCCATTTACCCTTTAAATACTCAACAGTGTCTACACTGAATAAACCATTTACCCTTTAAATTGCTTTTGTCAGGTCTTTTACTTTATCATAGCGACATAAAATAAAATAAAACAGCAAGTTTCCCCAGGGTGTTTTTATAAGGTCTTGGTTAATCCTCCCCCATCATCTCGTCTCTCTGTCCTCCTGTCTTCATACCTGTTTAAACCTTTACACTCCCAGTATTCTTCAACTTTACTTTTATATCTCACACATTCTGCTGTGCCCTCGCTCCTTGAGTCCTCTGTTCATAACCTCTCTAATGAATCCTTTGTAGCAGCTTTGCTTTTAGGATATGGTCTTACCGTATAGACAAGGTACTCCTCAAACTCAAGATCCCCCTGCCTCCACATACCAACATGTGAAAGAGAATATATTTTATCTTCTAAATTTTTGGTTCATGTTCACTTTTGCCCCCATTTTAGTTTTATAGGATTTTCCGTTAATAAAGATTTCCCCCTTTTTACTGTGTCTCCAATAGCATTTTAATGAGTGGGAGATATGCTGTCAACCTAATTTTGACACTGCTATATTTGATCTGATATAAGATCTAGATGTGACAGAAAATTGACAATCATATCCTAGTGCAAGGATTCACCCAGAGAATCTCACTCTGCTTAGTGGAGTAGATTTGATGATAGCTTACGTACACTTAGTCTACATATCTTTCAGGTTCCCAAAGTGTTACTATTGCTGGTGCATCTTCCATAATATTCTAAGATATTATTTGTGAAATATAATGACCATAGACAAGAGGTGTTTGATTAGTTACAACATAACTAGTTAAAAATTATCTACTTACAAAAAGTCATCTTGTAAGTCTGTCAGCAAACATTTGCTCAATGACTACTCTGAAAGACAAAATGAATTCAGCCCTAAAAAGCCTGGTGGCATAATGCATATTTTAATAACATGAATCTGACAACCAAAAGTCAATGACCTTCATAACTCCATGCCCCCCCCCCGGTCTCCCCACCACACACGCCTTAGATTTATCGTCGGGAAAGCTGGTCCGGTGTATAAAAATGCTTGCTGCACAAGCAAATGGACATGAGTTCAGATCCCCAGAACCCACATAAAAGGCTAGACTTGGTAGCATATGCCTGTGACCTCAGTGCTGCTGCTACTGACAAGCAGATCCCAGGGTTTTGCTTGCAAAACTGGTCTAGCCATGACAGCAAGTCCCAGGAGTGGTAAGTGGAGAAGGTATTGAAGAATACATACCAGTATTTACCTCTGGTCTTCAGTGCCATCCTCCTGAGTGAGCACGTGTGTTGTTTGTTCTTTACTCTTTGGTGGGCCTGCCACTCAGCTCCTAAATCATGACACGGAGGCTTACTCTTGCTTATGAATGTCTGACCTTTGCTTGGCTTGTTGCTAGCCAGCTTTTCTTAACTTATCTCTCTAACTTTTGCTCTGGACTTTGACGTTTCTCTTACTTCTGTAAATCTTACTTTCACTCTTACTGTGGGGCTGGCTGCGTGGCTTAATGGCCAGGTGGCTGATCCCTAGTGTCTTACTTTGCCTGTACTCTTGCTTTTCCTCCTTCTCCCACATTTCTCCTGTTGGTCCTCTCTGCCTGCCAGCCCCACCTATCCTTTCTCCTGCCTCACTATTGGCCGTTCAGCTCTTTATTAGTCCATCATGTGTTTTGGACAGGCAAAGCAGCACAGCTTCACGGAGTTAAACAAAAGCAACATAAAAGAATGCATCACATCGTTGCCTAATTAAAACAAATGTTCCGCAGCATAAACAAATGCAACACACCTCCAAATCATATTCTACAACACACTTTCACACATGTGGTTCCAACACATACAATAATAATAACAACAATAATAATGATGTAAATACTCAGCACTTAATTGTTAACTGATACTGTTTCTAAAACAAATTACTTACATTTGACTTCTTCCCCTTGAGTGATCTCACTTAAGCCAACTTCCTTTTTTTTTAAAAAAAATGCAATTAGATTATGTCTTAGTTACTGTTCTGTTGCTATGAAGAGATACCATGACTGAAGCAACTTAGAAAAGAAAGAATTTACTTCAGACTTTGCTTACAATTTTACAGCATGAATCCATGACTGTCACAGTGGGTAGCATAAGCCTATGCAAGCCATTCTCACTCAAACTACCACAGACGAGCTAGCTAATAAAATTTTTATCTTAGATCTGGCAAGATTTACATTGTAAGACTATAGATTTTGAGTCAGTGCTATACACTGTAGGAGAAAACTCAGGAATCATGAGAGTAATTTGCATGTGGAAGGGAGGTAATTCATTGCAACCAAGATCAGGCAGGGTATGGTAACTCTGCTCTTTAAGTTCTGCGCTCAAGAGGCAGAAACTGGCAGATCTCTGTGAGTTTGAAGCCATCCTGATCTACAGAGTGAATTCTTGGCCAGTAAAGGATTTATAGTAAGTTCCTGTCTCCAAAAAGAAAGAAGAAAAGAGGAGGGAAGGAAAGAAAGAAGGAAGGAAGGAAGGAAGGAAGGAAGGAAGGAAGGAAGGAAGGAA